AAGAATATATTATAATTTGTGGAAAATGGCAAAAGCTCTTACCTTAGTACAATGTCTGTACGGCGTCCTGGGCTGGCTGGCAAAATAATCAAGTCATCGAAAGTGTACTGTAGACAATTTCCATGACGCTGCATTGCATGCGTAGAGTCAACGTCACGATTTCTGCGTATCAATTTTTCTCCGCTTTTTTTATCGGGAACATTTAGTTACAGTTATTGATTCGTATTTACTCGTATTCTTGCCACATATATACACATCCTTTTAGTGTTAGTTCGATGTATTTCTGTTTGATATTGCATGTAAAGCTATGGAAAACTAGCACAACCTTGACTGCTTTAAGCCATTTTAATGATCAAGGCCACTTATACTAACGTAATAGGAAACACTCATAATTATATAATCAGCTCCAAAATTTGTTTACACGGTGTGAATCCTTGGCGGTTTATAAATACTGTGATTTCTTAGTAATTACTAGTTGTTACCAAACTCTCGATGATACATGTTATGTTCTCCAGAATAAATACTATCCATAGCTGAAGTATATCGTCTCGCTGTCACTTTATCCCGTAACTGCGTAGTGTGTATACACTACCAGGCTCGTTAAGTTTCGTATCCTGTCTTCTATTGTGATACCCAACCACATTTTTCAACAAATAATTCACTTTTTTTCTCATAGGAAAACGTCGTCAATCTTATTTTATTAGCCTGAACTTTGTCTTGACAGGGCAAATTATACCCAAATAAACGTCTTTGGATGATTTCTGGCACCCAAAATTGATTCTCGACTCTGTCCTAATTACGCGTTTAGGAATGACCTGGTGATCCAAAATTGACCTCGAATGCAAATACTGCCGCCTACGGCGGGTCCCGGGAATATTGCGTCGAGGTCGGACGGTGCCCTATCGCGCCAACCCTTCACCATTGTATTCAAACGAACCACGTGGTGTGCTGTTACATTCTCCTTCGAACCCGGGATTCAACTATTAGGGCGTTTCAATAAAAAAAAACACGCAAATCATGCAAATTTAGCATTTT